ACTTATATAGTTATATATTTATATTATTGTTTTAATAATATACTTAAACGAATGTTTGAATATAATATAATATACGTCGATATATTTGCTTGTGACGTATAATTGAATACATCTCGAACGCGAATTATGTATATTTACGATACTATATTATATATTTATATATATGTGCATTGTTATTCATGTTATTTATTATGAACCGCTTTTAAACATGAAATTATAAGTAAATGCCATTTAAATGTCCGTACACTTGTATAAGCATCAAGCGTTTTAAACTCAGTTGTTTTCTATGGCTGTTAGAAGGGGAAATTACTAGTTTCACACAATGTATACAAACCGTAGTCCAATTATTATTTCGTTTATGCACTCTCTCCCGCACAATCTGTCCGTCCATCCAATTGTGTTTGCTCTAGTTTCAGTTCATTGTTTGTTTTCGTCATTTTCGCAACTATCATTATAGGGTAAAAACATCGTGATCTGCATTTAAATTGAACCTAACATTACGTTAATAAATACAGGCTACTACGAGTACTACCCGTGATACAGACACACAGTTAGTATTTAGTACTACCGAAAATAAGACCCTGAAATTTAAGTATTAAACGCACAATATTGTACATTTATGTTAAAGTTTAACTATTTTTTACTATTGCGTAGATATTCAAAGTTATTAAGACAATAATAACTACTAATAAGGACAACAATCGATCGTGATCATACACACGAACAATAATTATTATCATATTGTTTATAAAGTTTGACAATGCCAAAAAAGTTGCAATAAAATGAGATTTCAAACTTAAACAAACGCCTAATATAATATATTTTAAGTTATAATTCATGGTAATATGTAGGTAAACACGAATTTAATAATATAGGTAATATGTAATAATTAATATTTATGATTGTATATATTATATAGGTATAATGGGTATGCATTTCAAGCTTGTAAGATAAAAGTAATAGGTGGTTAATATATCGCGACAACGAAAATGTATTTACGCTATACCGTAGAGGTACATAGTTGACATATCTTAGTGGGTGAATATAAACAAAATGTGGGTACATTAAGTTAGATAAATTATTATAAACATACATTCTTGTTTCATAAATGATGTTATTTTAATTTAATTTAAAAGTCTAACAGAATATATTAAGAACTAGCGTTGTGTTGTCGGCAATGAGATTTTTTGATTTACTTATCTATCCAAATCTTCTGTAATATTTTTAACTGTGTAAACTAAAATATAATATGATGATTATAATTTACATTTTTAAACGATGTCAGTTGTTGATACAGACACACTGGTAAGATTTCGTGTATTTATACATATTATTATTATGCATTTTTAACAACAACAATAATAATAATGTTATATTCCTATTATAGCAATATAACCTACATTTGTTAATCATCCCGATCATACAGTATAATAATATACTGTGTAATTGAGTTAGGACTGACTCTACATAATATATCTATACATGTAAGAGATTAATAGCATTTTTTAAATCTTATGAAATATTTTAAAATAATGGTAGCGTTTAATACTTAAATATAGGTTTATTATTTGCATGTACCTCCCAAAAACATATATAAAATACGTGTACTATGGATGTTTTACAGTAATGTCAGTAATGATTGTGATGTAATAAACGCCTACAGATGTATAGGTTCCTTCAAATTTTAATTTAAATACTTATTATTTACTAAACAAACCGCACCCGCATAATATTTAATATACACTGCAGACCACACAACTATTAAACTCAAGGATACAATATTTAAATTTTATACTAAAATGTCATCATATGTGTATACTTATCAGTCTATCTACATTGCTTTATTTTAGTTTTAGTTTTAATTTACATTTGTAAACGTTTTGATTGACCGATATTTTATGTAGTATTGTAATAGGTTGGTGAGGTACAATAATGTACTTTCCCATTCTAAATTTGCTACTTTGTAAATAAATAGAAAAAATACTATATATTTTGACAGATTTTTATGTCAGGGACCCATATTTAGTCCTATAACGTATCTATAATATTTGTAGATTAATCTTGTAAGTTATAACTTATAACTTTAACCATAGTTACATCACCCTTCTACAATGTATAAGATTTTGTGAGTCAAGTGTTTGAGTTGAAGTATTATTATTTATTTTAAAATTACCAATCATTTTTTAAACAAAACTATTAAAGCAATCTTAAAGTTAAGTAATTGATTTTATTTTTATAGCCAGCCTTAATATATTTAAATATTATATGTAATTGAACTTTCTTTGAAAATAAATATAATCTATTATAATTATTCATTGAATTACAATTTAAATTTTAGAAATAAGATTGTTTATAAACCTTTTATTGTTATTTATGGATTGAACATTTTTATCTAATTATAATACTTCAGACAGATAATTTTTCGATTTTTTTAAAAATTTTTATTTACCTTATGTTTAAAGGAAAAATGACGAAAATCATGTTGAAATATTTAAAACTTATAACGTAAGTAGGTAAATAATACTAATAACTAATTATAGTTCGTTATTTTCATAAGAAATTGAAAAAAAAAATGTAGTATGTTAAATAAAAATTAATTATTTTAATATTTTAGTATATTAAATGGATTATATGATGTATGATATATCTATCAATCTAGTTTTAAGAAATATTGAACTTTTCTGAATTAAATATACATTTTTTTAAAACTCTTTATAATTTATAGTTTTGGATATTTAAACAATACTTAAGTGTTATATTTAATATATTAATAATTTATAAATTTAAAAAACTGTTATCATTAATATCCTACAAGTTTTTAAAAATATAAATACTTATGCAATAGTGTATGTATTAGGTATTATTAAATACTGGAATTCGAGCTTCACTCACAATAATTTTTGAATGTGATGATTTATTATTTCGCATTTAATTTTAGAATATTAAATTATAAATAATAATAATAAATAGGTACAATAAATAATAATAGATCACTATCATGTATCAAGCGAACCAAGACGAGCTAGCACCACTGAATATTACTCATTAGTCGGTATTTGTATCCTGTCCAGATTTTTATATTCATAGTATAAGTAACTACCTAATGATTGTGTTTATAATTAAATTTATGCATAAATGTATGAAACAATGACAATAATTATTGTTTCAGGTTTATTTATATTTGTAATATTTATATCTATTAATATCATTGATGTTAAGTATACTAAATTTATTTAATCTACGATTTGAAATATTCACTTTATTACTTCAATAGGTATCAACCTTTTACAGTTAAGTTTAACAATGTAATATGTAATAATATGTTTTAACTATAACCTTCAAAATACAATGAAATTCCTGTACAATTTTAGTAACAAAAAATCAAATATCCGCATTTACAATTCACATTTTGTCCTAAATATACTATACTACCTATATTTTATAGTCCATTGTCATAAAATTAATAATTAATATTTAAAAACTGACAATAATAGAAAATTATCTATATGAGATTTGTTTTTTCATTAAATTAAATTATACATAATTATATTTGTACAAAATCTTTTATGTTAAAAACAAAAAAACTATTTACCTAACAATATGATAATAATTTGTAATAATTTTTGCTGTTTTTAAATCATAAAACAATGTATAGAATATCCATTATCCAAGTATAAAATATTTGTTGTTTATCTGTATTAAACATTAAAATTATATCCTATAAATAAGAATATTATTGTATTAATGTATTATATAGAAAAAAATACCTTGCACAATAAAATAATATTACTGTTATAATCATGTAGTAGGTATGATGATAGGTATATTATTATATATGTTGTTAAAGGCGTGAAAATTAAAGTACCACACAGGATAGAAAATAAACCAGAACTCTTCCAATACGTTTGAATTCGCCTGGACTTAAAGAATAAAGAATTCAATAATTAGGACAGTTGGTAAGATATAGTAATACCTATATGGCACTAACCTTAAGGTACATTAGATACTATATATATATGTACAGTAAACACTAAACATATAACTATAGGCATCGTTGATCGAGCACAAGAAACTAACCATACATATAATACTAATTGTAACTTAATCTGTTTAGCCATGTAGATTGTAGATATCTATCTATATTACATATTATATAATGTGTATAAGTATAAATTTGTATTGTTACTTTATGGTTAATAAATAATTTTAAATTTTAACACCTAATTTTACAGAAAAATTGTTTTCAGACTCTTGTTGAAGTTATCAAAAAGTTTGAAATTTTAATTCAATACTATCAATTTAATTTTTTTTTTTAACAACTTAATATTGAAATAAAAAATTTAAATTATTTTCTAAACGTAAAATGTAACATTTAAGTAGATATAAGTACTTATTGATTACTGCAGTATTAGTATAATATTCAATATGTTAGTAGCATAAGTAAAATATTAACTTGAATCTATCAAAAAAATATATATATATAAATATATAAATAAACACAACGTTTCTACCAAATATAAATTACGACAAATCCTTGGCAGTAGATTTTTTTTTCGTCGACTTTTAAATATCGTTTATTTATTGTTTTCGAATTAAACACCCGCCGCAAGTCAATTTCGAATAATAATGCCAATAAAAGTGCTTACCTATATGTTTATTATAATATCGTGTATCTATACATAGCGTGTTTATTGCTATTATTGTACAATATTATAATATATATTATATTAAATTCTAATGTAAAATGTTACGTGAGGATGTAATATAACTATAGCCAGCTGGCATTGGCGGCGGTGACTAAAACGTGAACAATTATTATTGCAATCTCGTGATTTACTACTTGCACGTAGTATATCACATGTATATATATGTATGTGTGTGTGTGTGTGTGTATGTGTATGAAGTATTAAAAATAATAATGTATTTAGGCATGGGGGAAGTCACCGCGTTTGCGAACTAGAGTAAAAGGAACACCGCTTCTAAACTACATCGTGACCACGTTAACGTGAATCAGTCATGCTTAGGACGCTGTTCTCGTACAGACTTGTTTTCCTCGTGCAACTGCTAGGTATTTTTCGAAAATAAGTATAACAATTTGGTATATTGATATCTACACTAAATAATATACATTTAATAATTAATTTCGAAATTTTAACTGTATAGTGATTATATAGATTATATGGACCATATATCTGTAACACATTGTCAATTTTAAATTTGAGTCAAGATCTGTTTATTGAATTCCCATAAGGTATATTGCGGAACGTAATAACAACGATAGTTCCTAGATGTCAATATTTAAATGTTCTGTTATATTGTGAAGTATCTGCAGGTACGTACTTAATACAATCATAATATTCTATCATTTAAATTATTAAATTTTTAATACGTTTACTGTAGGTATAAATAAGTACATTATACTTATAGTATTAGTATTTAGTTTATTATTTAGTTATTTAGCTTTAGTTTTTAGTAATTATTATAACTTTAATACTTAATCACTATAATCAGTGCATATACTATGATATGACTTATTATAGACACATTAACAAGGTCCAGACTTTTAAATTATTTACACGTGTTTTTTAAATTTAATTTTAACTTGGGTAATAAAGAACTTTCTAAGTAACTGAAATTTTATCATTTTGTGTCAAATATTCGTGCAATTATAAGTGTATTCATTTTTTTTATGACACGTGTAGTTAACTTATTTATAATTTATATGTAAAAATAATAAAAACCAAGGCCCATTATACAGGAAATATCATAATAATGATTTGAGTGCATTGCACATTTAATATTTTAGCTTACTTTTTATGATGCCTATAGTAAGAACTTCTTAAGTAAATTAATAAGATAAATTATTTTTAGTTAATATTTTTATTAATATATTTTTCACTTTCATTGTCATAATTCAATTTGATTAGAGATATGTATAATATTATTTTATTTTATTTTATTTTACTTTTATAACAATACGGGACAAGCCCAAATTACAAAATTGTAATATTATTATATTTTAAGTTTTTATTTAATCATGTACCAGATATACATTAAAATTATTTGAAACCGTTAATATCTTAAAGTACAATTTTGTAAGACAATGAAAAAATATCTACGCAAATTTATTTAAACTGAAATAAGTAGGTGCCTTTCTAATATAAGCAGTAGTACTAATAATTAATAACCTACAGGTACTATTTTATAAATATTTTAATAAATTATAACTAAGCAATTTATGATTTTAAAATACTTACCTATAGTAATTATATTATTTAGTTATGTAACTCATTTCAGATTATAGATAGGTATGTATATAATATAAAAAATTGCAATTCACTAATAAGTATAAAATGTATATCCATTAAAAAACAGATCACGTAGTTTTGTGATAGATGTTTTAATTAAGTAAGTACCTATATCCTATTATAGGACCCATATACTCGTATGATCATGCATTCTGTTACCTACTTTAAGTTCAAGAAACAAGAATGACATATGAAAGAAAAATATATCATAATTTCATAGATATTTTTCAATTTTACAATTTGCGATAATAACTTTCTCCGGATAAATCAGATATTGCTTTTATAATAATGTTATGATGTAATACAAACATTATAAATGTTTTGTTCGTATTGTATTTATATCAGTTAGTTGGTCAAGGTAGACGACCGTTATTCTCATTAACTTAACGCATTACAAGTGCTATGTATCTGTATCTCCAGAAAACATTTGACTTTTTTGATTATAAAGTCCATATTGCTAAATAGTACAATACCTATATATTATAGGTTAGGTTAGGTTTGATTACTTACTTACCATAATGAGATTTCAGACTTTCATAAAAATGAAATAATAATGCGTGTTTTATTAAAAATATCTACCTATTATTATTCGTTCACTTTGTCGTTAATTGTTTATGTGATCAAGTATGAAAAAAAAGAGCAATAAAGAATTATTTAAATTTTTTAACAAATTATTCGATAGTATAGTAAACTTTTATACAGTATATTTATTGGTTTTTTGTATGTATATACAATAATATATATGCATACAATTATGTATTTTCAGAACTGCGATTTTAAAATTTTAAAAATAGTTATTTTGTGATGAAATACATGAAATTTTTTGACTTGAATAGCGATATTCGTTTTTAGAATTCATAAGTATTTATTATACTATAATACTATATATTTAATTTTATCCAACTTATGTATCTATAGCTAATCATATATAATATGGTCTACGTTTGATATAAATACAGTACCTATAATCAGTGGCGTAGCATGAAACTTGGTGACCCTAGGGCCTAAGGTGGGGCTTTCTTAGGCACAAAAATTAAATTATTAAACAGTGATGCTTAAAATTTTTTCCATATTTTTAATCAGATAATTTTCAGCATAAATATAATTTAAACAAAAAAAAAAAAAATGTTTTTTTTTTAATGTCATTACTTTAAAGATCTTGGCCCCTTCCTAACTTGAACATATCTTACGGGCCTTAGTGGCCCTGGTCTAACTGTGTCACTGAATATAATATAGATCCAAAAAGATCCAATACTTGGATAATTGATTGCACTTAAACTTGAATATCTATAATATACACCACGACCAAATAAAAAATAAATATACGCCCACTATTTTCTTAATACATAGGTTACCATATTTATCATGATTATAATATAGTAGTATATATACATACATATATATATAATAGGTATATAAATTATAATAGATTCTAAGTGAATCAAAGAAAATAAATTATTAACAAGTCTCAACTCATAAGTGATATTTTCGTAAGGCTAGGTGAAAAATAATGTAAAAATGTAAAAGGTAGATACGCGATTACAAAAGCACGTAATAAGAAATTATTCGATTGCTAAGTAGATTATTAATTACGGTAATAGCCTTAGTAACTATAGTGAATTTAACTAAATGCTACTTTATTTTAACTATAACATTATTAAAGATAATAAATTTCACTGAACGAGTTTGTGTGGGGTGTCTATGAGTTGAAAATGTTTAAATGTGTAATAAAACATATAATTTGATGTAAGTCTTGAAATGAATATTAAAGTGTATAGGTTTATTAAACACAAAAAATACATAGAATTTAGTAAAATATAATATTTAATTATTCGATCAAAATGGAAGTATATAAATTAAAATACTTTTTTATTTTTTATTTCTTAATTATTATTGGTAAATAGTAATTTGTTACTAAAAAGAGAAAAAAGCACACCCCGATGATTCCGTGTTACATTTGTAAATAATATAATATTATGTATTTATGTTGGTTGTTCTTGATCTTATACTCGTAGTTAGCGGAATCATTTAACAAATAATATATAATTTATTGAGTGGTTGTATTCAAACGAAATATATTTTTATCATTCGACGACACCTGCAGCGTCGGTCGCTTCTATTTCCTGCGATGACTCGATGTTGTCGGGCAGAAGAGCTCGTTATAATGTTGTTATAGTTAGATAGATACCTAAATAGTTTGCGTTCGGACTCGTCGGTTCTGGACCGTTGAACCGCTACAAGTCATCTGATCCGTTCACCAGGATAATTTTCTATGAAGTTGTCGTCAAAAATTCGCTCTGGTACATTAGTAAATCGCAGAAAATCGATTGTGAAATTTTAAATTCTTTTAAAATTATTACAGTTTAAACTATTATACTACGACTCGGCTCTATTGGAATAAATAGAAACAGTATAACAGTTAATTTTTGTGAAACTTATTTTGATTTTAATTTCTCTAACATTTTCAATGCATAGACGCTTTTGCTATTTAAATTCTACTCAAGCATAATGTATATATGTGTGTGTAAGCATTCAAGCGCACACGCACACATACACATACACGCACGTATATTCTTAAATTTGCATTTAGATAAAATCGTTTAAAATCGAAATCTTGTGATGACTTGTACGACGTGCGTGGACACTGCTGAACAATACGCTACTAAGCTGTTTACAAATACAATATTATATACATATATTTTGTATACCTGTCTATATATAAATAATATTTATATGAAAACAGTATTATGTATGTGTGTAGGTGACTGCTGTAAGTCATAATATGATGAATGTGTAATACTGTCATCGTTGAATCGTTTTTATTTTATATTATATTGTCAATTATATTTAGCATTCGACTCATGAAAGGGAAATTCGGACGTCTTTCGTCCAGTTTACACTAAATTATCGATTCGTTTTCACCAATTATACGTGCGAGGACCAAATTAAAATGAAAGTGACGATGTTTTTATTTTATTTTTCTCATTCCGATATTATTTTATAATATAGGTACTTCGTACTTATATACCTATATATATTTATTCATAGAAATAGAGTAGACTGTATATTATGTAGTCTTTTATGTGACTTATCAAATTGGGTTCCAAAAACTTTCTTTTTATATTAACAAAAACACAATTTAAGTAACAATACAGAATTGTTATTGCATTTTTTATTCTTATTAAAATATCTAATCATTTAACTTACCATTTTTTTTCCTTTTGTTCTTTAGATTTTTAGATTTTAACTAAAAATAAAATATAGTATTTTTAATAAACTATTGTTAATTGATATGAAATACGAACTGTTTGAGACTATTAAGTAACAGTATAAATTAAAATACTACTAATATTTGTACTATAAAATTTAAATTTTTTATTGCTAAACAATTATTTGACTGCATATCAAATATAATCTTACAATTTCTAATAAATATTAAAATATTAAATTAACTTTGTTATTAAAATCATTATCTATGTTTAAAAAAGGGAACTAAGTCTTCATAGTTTTTAAAACAACTGTAAAATTAACTGCTGTTGCAGTGTGTATGTCTCATATTGCGTAGGTATCTGCAAAGTGCAGGGACGATCATTCTTAAAGTTATAAGCTCATAAAAATTATTAATCGTTAAATAGTAGGTCGAAGTCTAGTTTGAGCAGTAATTCAGTCGGCGCGATTGCTATAGATCACAAATATTTTTTTTTCAGTACCTATCTATCTGTTGGTAGGTACTATAGGTTATCGGTAAGTATACACTTTGCTATTTACGTATATAGTGAGAATTTTATGACATCACTAAGGCGACTTATATCAAAGCCATTATATTTCACTTATTTTTATAGTCAATAAGTAAATTAAGGTAGATTTATTTATTAGTAGAATCTTGGGTCGAAAACTATATTAAAAATATATGAAAAGTAGTGATAAAATTATTTTATCAGAAGTTTAAAATTCGTTAATAGTTTTTTATTTATTTCTAACATCATAGTCAAGTTTCAAATTTAATGTTTGGCTACCTACCTATACCTATACATACATAATTGAATGTCGCACGGTCGTCCGTCATCAATTTCACACTTTATACTTTATAGTATACCTATCTAATAATACAAAAAAGTGATATAGGTACAGCTAGAAGTCGTTATTTTATATTAAAAATTAATGACTAATGATTTTTGATATTTTAAATATATTTACAACTGGTTTGATATAATATAATTTTATGCTACAATGAGTTCAACGATAAAGGTAACATTAAATATTTCGAATGCATGGCACTGAATGTCATTTGTTTTTTTTTCACTACATAATACACTTATTTTTCAAAAATTTTAATTTTTTAATTTTTTTTCCATACATTCGCATCTATAAACAATTTTTTTTAGAATTGTAACCCCTCCTTTTTGAGTTTGAATTTTAATTAACTTTTTTTTTTTTAATCAATTTTAAATTATAAAGTTTTTTTCTGAATATGGACTTGTTAAGAGTGAGTTAAAGTTAACATTTATCGTATTTTTTGATAGTTAATTTATAATTTTACTAAGTGTTATATGATTTTATATGGTTTGTCTTGAATAGTTTAATGTGGTATTAAAGTACAAAATTACACAAAATTTTGTAAAATTACTAAAATTGTAGACATATTGTTAAAAAATACGATAAATATAACATTTTAACCAAAGCCCTCCTGGAATTTAAATATAGTAGGTACCTCTTCAAGGCATTTATAGCGAACTACAATTTGAAAGAGAAGATTGTGTATTCAATGGGCCTTTAATTGTTAGGAATCCTTTTTAAAGGGTCACTCTATATCAATTGAAACTTAAGTAACAAATTTTATTACCTATATAGGTGTGTTTCTATTTCTAGCAAATGCATATACAATATATACTACAGGGACGTACCTATAAATTTTTCAAAGGGGGATCCAAATTTTTAACATATAGAAAGTATAAAACAAATTATGTCATTAAAAAAACAACATTTTGATTCATAAACTCTTTAATTGGTAAAATAAATAAGATAAGTACGATTAAAATTAAACAAAGTGTATGAATTTAATAAGAACTTTTCGGTGGTCGTCATTACCGCACATTTACTGTTCATAACCACACATTTTACACTGTTCAATACCGCACATATTTATTCTATTGCTAAAACGTACATTTTAAAGTTTGATAGTTCAAAACCACATACATTTGATTGACAGTTAAAAATTGAACATATTTTATTGTAAAAAAAAATAATTTAGTATAAATTAAAAATAATTTTATATATAATTAAATTGAAATAAATTTACACCTTAATATTTTTAAATAATCAATTAAATTAATTTCTTTGGTCATGAAACGATTATATAAATTTAAAATATATACTTTACGTATACGGTTTACGTTGTCGTTTCCTATGAGTCTAAATTTGGTTTCAGATTTTGTGATCTTGATTAGATAAGATTAATTATAATGTGCGATACTAAACAATGTTATTTTAGATAAATGTATATGTTATTGATATATATTAATGTGTGCGGTATTGGACGGTTTAGTTAAGGGAAAATATGCGGGATTAAAATATAAAAGTGTGCTGTTTTGAAAAACGACTTTTTTTTTAAAGTGCGTGGTTATGAACAACGCCAGAATTTTTAATTCTGTCAATCAATGAGGAGTGGAGGGGAGAGGGGTCCAGTCCAGAAAATCATTTGGGTACACCTCTGAATATAAAGGGCATTTAATTACTAAAGGCTATGTAAACATTTTAGATTATATTGTGCAAACCTCGGTTTGTAGAATAATAGTATAAAATGTATACTATGTTATAAGTACCTATCTATATCATACTTAGAGCTTAAAGAGTTAGGAATATTATTATTAAATAGGTATATATATATTATGTGTAACTGATATTGTAATTGGACACATTATTAAAAGCGTGACACCTACCTATAATTATTTGTTAAATAACTCACGCCATAATTATTATTTTTCTTCAGAATGTCGTCATGACGAAGGCGGTGGCTTTATCATTGGTCACTCCTTCAGACCGCAGCGGACTACACACGTCCATGTACTTTTGGCTGGCGCTGTTGGCTGTGTGCCAATGCCTATCCGGGACACCGACCACGGCGTCGACAACTCGCCATTGGAGCTTGGCCGAACTTTCGGTGACGTCTAGCGAACTGCCCAAACAGATACCGGCGCCGCCTTACCCTGTACAGCAAAGGATCCAATCGACTCCGCACTACGATCAACAGCTGAAATTGCCGTCCGGAAACGGCGTGGGTTCGCGGCACCACTACTATCCGTGGACCCGACCGACGGTATCGATTATTTGAGCAGACAGATTTCATCGTTACCTTTACTCGTCGTCATCATTGCTTTGCCCACAATTTCATCACTAATCATTATTCGACGACCGCGGCAACCGGAACCGCACTGAAACGGGCCGGTTCCTTACAGACAGATAGTATTTGTAGTTACACATTATGCAAAATACGAATCCAATACGGGTTGTACACAGGTTTGACTAGAACCCACAGGTCAACACAGTTAATTGGACCCCAAACCGATCCAATTCTTTCAAGTAAAAGTAATCCAAACTTTTAGTATGTCAAGCAAGAGAAGCGTGAATTACCCATCCGCGGAATCGGAGCAGATATGCAAATCAAATTATAAAAAAGGTTCCAGTTCCTGAATCATCAATTTTCGTAGAGTCGGTTTAACAATACTAAACCAACAATAATTATATTGTTATTCATATATTTGACGTTTTTTTAACTGTTATAGATTATATAGGCATATATTACACACAAAACACATAAATGAGAATTGTAGCGGTGACCAGTTACCAGCTGGTTTAACTACAAGTACCTATATTATGTTACCTTCACGTTATCTATTTTTTTTTTTTTTTTTAAGTAGGTATCACGATTTAAAATGTATTTTGCATTCTTACTGACCGGTACCTACATTTATATTTTTATATGATGTTATTTATTTATTTTTATATTTAAAAAGTAATCAGATAATTTTAAATGTGAAATTATTATACAAATACAAAATATTTAATTTATATATCAAAAAATAGGTATATTTAACGTACATTTAATTACACGATAGTTGTTTAAAATTTACCTAAAGCTACCTATTGTATTTTGCATACTTAATGTGAGCAGAATTATTATAGTTATGTTTAATAATAGGTTAGATAAAGTAATTGTTGATATATTTAATAATACCAGTAATTTATAGATTTAAGGCCATATCATATACTTTATTAAGAACCTAACAACCAAAAAAGGAATCCAAGACGATTTTTTTAGAAGATTAAAAATTAAAATTTAATTTAAAAAAAACGGGTGCCTAAAAATGTATAAAATGCTGAACTTCAATTTACTTTTAGGGGCTGTGAACAATATTTAACTAGTTATTATTAATAATGAATATAGAAAAGCTATTTAAAATCTATATAATGAATAAAATCCGAGGAACTTATTCTGTTGTACAGTATCTGAAACTGAGTGTATTTCTAAGCGATCAGTAGATGTAATCAATATGTTGAATTTGAATTTAATGATAAATCATTGCATAATATGGTAAACAATTATGAGTGTTGATAAAAAAAAAAAATAAAATTTTAAATCTTATTAGGTACATAGAAATTCAAATAGCTCAAAATTAGTCTATATTGAATCTATTTTAGAAATTTCATCATGTATGGAAAAAGATATTTAAGGAAAAATGAAATGTTTCTAGTTCCCACAATTAATATTATTGCTTGAATTACAACTATTTTCAATAAAATATTAAAACAATTTGAGGAAAATTGTTATTTTATGTGGGAAAATCCATTGTTATTAAAATTTGAAATTCAATCATTTGTAAAAAATATAGTTTGTGTTTAAACTTAATTTTTTTCTGTAGCAACATAATATGAAGACTTAAGAATTAAGTTTTAAACTTTCTAAATTTTTCAACTAAACTTATAATATGTAATAGACACCTTATGGATAGAACAAAAAAAAAAAAAATCATTAATTTCAAATTGACACAATAATTTTTTTTTAAATCAATTTTAAGTAAAGGTTCAAGTATTTTTAATTTAAAACGTAGATATGAAAAAAAAATTACTTTTTATAATCTAAAATAGAGGGTTTCCAACCTTTTTTTACGGAAGGCTAAATCTGAGATACACTTTGGCATCGCAGGCTAAATTTTTTTAAAGACATAGAAAGGTATTGAAATTAAGAATGAAAATAAATATTTATTTCGATTAACGATCATTGTCTTAAACATGATAATACAATTGACAGGATAATCGACAACAATTAATGAAAAACAATTTATTTTATTTTAAGGTTTTATTATTTATCTTTTACTAGGCAATACTATTGATCAAAACATCAATTAATTTAGAGGGCTGATTTGAAAATCTGGATGGGCCATAGGTTGGAGACCACTGATTTAAAATATAAATAATGGACTTTATAATTTACCATAAAAAAAAAAAAAAATTGACAAGAATAATTAAATTCAATAAATTAAACAAAAATAATATTAATTTATATCTAGATCAAAAAAAAATAAAAAATATTAAGAATTACATAAATATTAAATACTATATTATATTATAAGTTCTATAATAATGAAATATTTGATTTTTTAGGTAATTTATTGATTGGCAGTATAGTTAGTGAAATGACTGAAATGAAATATTGTATAGACAGTTAATTATATAGAGGTACATTTGCATCCAATTTAGTCTACAACACATTTTATATATTATCTGTGGTAAGTTTCAATATAACTAATAATTTTTGTATCCCATACAAAAGTTCTAAAATATCAATTATGAGGTCAGTCCAATTGATGCAATATACATAAATATGTATTAGCCATAAATATTACTTGGTCCATTACACATTCAATATAGATGTTACATATAATTGTATTAATGATTAATTGATATATAAGTATACTAACAGTGTCTTTTTACAATTATATTTTCTGAAAAAATAAAAATTTATAGTAGTTAAAAATTTTAACACAACCTTTATTAATGAATTTTCTTACATAGTTATTTTTAAATCCATTTTAAGTTAATTATATTCTGTTAATGATTTTCTTTAATTTCTTGGTTAATTTTTTCGGTGATGCCTTCTACGCCTAATGAAGTTTGTACTATTAAAATTTTATTTCTTGATCTTGAACCCTGAAGAGCATATTTTTAGAAAAATTATTATTAAATAAATATGAAATTTTTAAAACTAATAAAAATTTTAATTGGAGGTGAAAATAGAAATTTATTTAATGATACATAAATAATTATTACTATTAAACATTTCATTAAATTATAACTTTTAAAAATAGTAGTTTTCTATAATCCTATAAGTGAATAAGTAAAATAATTTACTCATTTTATATGCTTAAAAGGAAAAATTAAACACTTTTAAATGTAGGAATGAAGGAGAATATTATTTAGGTGAAATTTAAGTATAAACAAAAGAAATAAACTTACTCGATCTAAACTTAAATCACTTTTTCTTAAACCTAATACTTTTGAAAGATATTTTATTAATTCTGCATTAGCTTCACCATCAGTTGGAGGAGCATTTATCTGAACACCAACGCCATCAGAACATATATCTTAATAAAAAAAAAATAATATAAATTTAAGAATGTAAAACAAAATCTTTTGATTTTTCAAATACATAATTTACACCTACTTAATTGGGATTTTTTAGTAGATATCTATTTGTTTTGAATTTATTAATAAATATTGAAATATCTAATTTATGTTAATAGTGCAAAATTATCATTAATTTTGCTAAAAATTAATAATTGCTAATATTATACAAATTTGTTTCAAGAATTCTTTTTGCTCATCACAATAATTGGTAAACATTTTTATATTTGTTATTATTATAATAATTGTATTAAGTACCTGTTATGTTATTATTTTTAGCACCAGGTTTGGCATTTATTTTTATAACAATTCCTCCCGATTTATCGACAGTTATAGGTCCAGTCTGAATAGCCTCTAATTTTCCTTGAACTTGTTTTGTATTTTTTTTTGGCATATTTTTTATTATTTTTGAAAAATTTAAAGTAGCATTAAAAAGTCTCATTTATATGGTCTAAATAATTTTATAAAACTATAAATATTAAAAAATATGAATTATTTACATTGATTTTAATAGAACTATAAAATTAGTTATTAAAACAACCTCGATGGAGACTTTTAAACAAAAATAACAAAAAATTCTTTAAATTTAAATTATTATCTTGAATAATCTTGATAAATCAAATTTTAGTGATAAGAATAAATAATGGTGCATTAGGATAGATAACAATATACATTATAGTATCATACCACAGAATAGAGATGGGAAGATGGTTAGAGCGGTCAGATCCTGGAAGTAGAGTTAATCATAGATTAAATATTTAATCTATGAGTTACTGCAATAGGTAGCCAGTAGCCACTAGCAAATAATGCATTATAAATATTAAATGGTGATATTATATTCGTTAAAATATATTGAATTATGCCCTTAAGGCTTAAGGCCTTAAATTTTTTTAGATGTATGAATATAACTAATATAAGTAAAAAATAACCTTTCAATACTTACTAAAAATTCTTTAACTTAAAAAAAATTTTTTTGTACCTCACTTTATTTGATGTAAGATGTTTTATAACATATGATGTTAATGCACTTCAGCTTTAAGATTAATATAATATACAATTTATTGGGTACGTTCTGTTTTCTTATAATAAATAAATAATTGTGTTTTTTTTTTTAACATAACAATCTACAATCTAAGACTAAAATTGGCTACGTGCTGTTGATAACTAAAAATTATTATTTATTTTGTTTATTGATAGGCTTTTAAAAGTAATTTATTTTGACAGTTATATAATAGTTGTCTCTAATATGTATTTAAACACTTATAATTTGAAAAATACATTTATAAATAAATAAAAAAAACTTGAAATACTTAGGTAAATATGTAATTATATCCAAATAAAATTATGAATTTGTATTTGGATTGGTATAGTTCTAATCTATGGCTGATCTAGCAATTTTTTAGTATATTTATTAAAAACATACAAGTATATAAACTTCCAATCTTAGAGATGACAAATAATGATCAAAAAATAAATTTGATCACTGTTACAATGATAATGGAGACTTAAATTTAATAATAACTGTTAATGGTCAATATATATTTTGTTTAATAAATATTAAGTTACTCATGTAACCATCATAGAGTATTATAAGAGTGGTTATTAAGTAAATGTGACAAGATTTTTCACTCATTAATACCAGTATACCATAGAATATTTAGTGACTACTATATTATGACCATATATAATTATTATTAATCATTTTGAAGATTTAAAAATTTAATACAAAGTTTGTTATAATTTTATAAGTTATTAGCTATTTGAACATATTAAAGAAAATATTTAGGTATGATTTTCTTTTCTTTTTTATAATCATATTAAATTAAAATTTCTAAAAATGTTATCAAAATCATGGAATTTTAAATTTATTTTGTAGTTAAAAATTTATAAAATATTCAATTTTTATAGCTTAACTATGAAAATTTAAAACAATGTTCTGCTTTATTAGATTTTCTGAAATCTATATGTTCTTATTTTATTTTATATAAGTAAGTGTCATTTGGAAAATATAACTGTGATTGTGATGAATGACTGAATGAGAATACATTATTTCCAAACACTGTCCACAACTCTTTATGTAACAGATTTTTCCAATTAACTACACATATCTTAGTTATTTCTTCAATTATGTTGCGGTGAAGGGTTCACTTTTTCCTTCAAAAGATTTAAAAAATGTATTATTTGGATTTGTATAGATAGAAAAAGCTAAACTACTTTTAAAGATAATGGTCCAATGGTTAATATAAGTAGGTACCATAAAAATACTTATGTTTATTTATTTTTATATCCTGTAATGTTTACATAAGTAAGAAAAAGTGAAATTTTAATAACTAATTATGTTCTTAAATAATATGAAACACGAATTACATAAACACATTAATTATAATATCTTAATACTTAGGTACATCAAATGAATACATATGTCTATATTTTAATAATAGTTGTCTTTTCATTTGCAAAGATTGACGGAGATCATCCATAGCTTTTAACTGTTGCTCACTGTTATATTGAATTCCTGGTAATTTGCGAATCTATACAATTAAAAAAAATTATTAAATAAAAATAAGATTTTAGAAATGTTTTTATTAACATAATATACTTAATTTCAGATATCAAAAGAAAGTAAAATTTATGGTAGTCTTATGAATCTTAAATAGATCTTTTGTATACCATTCCATTAATATATTAATAAAGCTGTATGAAGTTTCTCATTAAGTTTAGAAAAATTCTATAAGTCTCTGTAAAATTTCATGTTTTAACCTATTTTTATTTAAGTTTTTTATTAATTTGTAAATAAAAAATTGGAATAATTAAATTAACAATGCTTGGGCATCTTATTCAAGTTTTGTGTAAATTTCAATTATTTCTATTAAATTTTTATACTTTGATGCAGTAATCTATTTTTTTTATAGTTAGAGACAAAATGTAATTAATATTCTTACATCACTTCGAGCTTGATCAATTTTTTTTTGTAAATCTTGTATTTTTTGAGATATTTCTTGGGCTGATTTTTGAGGCTCATGATTTTCTCTTTCACCGCTATAAACATAATATAATAGATATATAGCTAATAACTTTGAGAACATACTTGACGAATTTTTTACCTTTTTATTATATCGTGAATTAATGGTAAAAAATCAGTATCCACATCATTGACGGTAATAGTATTTTCCATATTTAATATTTTTAAATTTATAATAATTAAACAAAAAACATACCTACTAAACTTTAACAAGTAAATACTAAATAGTAAATAGTAAATTAGTAAATATATAATAACGATAATTATTGATAAATAAAATAAATAACAGAAATGGAATTATACAACTTTAAAAATTTTGTTTGCTGTTTAAAATGTTCAAAGATTTTAAAGTAATTTTATTTATTGATATATTGATAACATAATAAATGATGATAAAACTATTCTGTTATTATATCAAAGTAATATAAAGGAGGGCGCTCACTATTTAAAATTACTTTATGGTTGGTACCTAGGAACCAAACAGTACAATATATTTTTATTTTTATTTGTATAAAATGGTATGAAATGGTAGTTCTGAAAAAGGAATTCAAGTTCTGGCTTCAATTTATGAAAACAACGGCCCCTCTAGTCTCTATATTACTCTATGGATTATACCTTGAAAGGCAAATAACATAGCCACATGACCTAAAGTTAGGTTAGTCGGTCACTGATAAAGTAATAAGTATCTACTATCTAACAATATTAGCAATTAATAATTAATTTAAAAAAAGTTATAGTTTTAATACTTCAGTTTCGGTTGTCTAACAGATTTATGAATAAAAATAAACGTAACAACACTATGTCTGCATTTGAGTATTATGCTAAGAAGAGAAATATTGAGGACAGCGTGAACCGTAAACATAAAAACAAGAAGAAATTCAAAAAAATTTCTGTTAAAATTACTAAAAATGAAAAAGATGTTAAGGATTTAAAAAAACTCAAAAGTCATACTTTAAATAATATTTATAATCTCAATTTAAAAGATTCTTCCAAAACGGGACAAAAATTGTTTGAATGGTTAATACATCCAATCAGTATAGACAATTTCATGAAGTAAGTGAATACGTATTATTATCTATATTATAATATTATATTCATTTTACTTGTGTATCTGTGTTAATATTTTTGATATAAGATCTAGATAATAACTATTTTTTTGATTTTCACTGACAATTTGATTTTAAAGTGTAGTATAATTTATACCAGTCACTGAATTTAAATTTATTGTTTTTCAGGAATAATTGGGAGAAAACTATCCTGCATGTGCCAAGAAATAGTTCTAATTACTTTTCACAGTTGTTTTCTCTTACTGAGTTTGATACCATTCTTCGTGAAAATAACCTTCAATATGGGACAAATGTAGATATTACATCTTATACAGACAATGTACGTGAAACACATAATCCAGTTGGCCGAGCTTTTCCTCATGTTGTTTGGGATTATTTCAACAATGGGTGTAGTGTCCGGTTACTGAACCCTCAGCTATTCGCTTCAGAAATTTATAAGTTCATGGCTAATCTACAAGAATATTTTGGCTCATTAGTTGGTTGTAATGTTTACCTTACACCATCATTTTCTCAAGGGTTTGCTCCTCACTACGATGATATTGAAGCATTTGTTGTGCAAGTAGATGGTGAAAAACATTGGAGGGTTTATAAACCAAGGTAAATGTTATTAGACATTCATAGTTGGTTATAATATATTTCTTACAATTTTATTTTTAGAAGTGAGTTTGAAACTCTGCCAAGGACTTCAAGCAAAAATTTTGATCAAAATGAAGTAGGTGAACCAATTCTTGATGTAATATTGAGACCTGGAGATTTTTTGTATATGCCTAGAGGATATATACATCAAGCTGATACTTTATTTACAGAAACACATTCTTTACATTTGACATTTTCATCATATCAACAGAATTCTATGTATGATTTTCTTCAAGTGGTAAAATGTTTAATTTTTTATATTTTCTCTTTATGTTTTTATATATAATATTGTTTTTTTCCAATTTGTAATTAATTAATTTTTAGATTTTAATATCATTTGAGTTTATCTTTTAATATTAACTTGGATTTGAGTTTTCGATATTTAATTTCATATTTTAATTTATCAGTTTAAATACATTAAATCAAAGGAAATTATTTATTTTTATTTTATCAATTATCCTACAAATTGTTGTGTTTGTCTTTTTTTATAGTCCTATTTAAAATGTATTAAAACTAATTATTATTATTTTATTTTTTATAATTTATTAATTGTAATTAAATAAATATTGTCTTATCAACTTTTTAGAAAAAATTAATAAATTGTTATTTTTAGGTGGTTAATAATTCTTTAAATAATGCTTTGAAGAATGATATATCCTATAGATCTGGATTACCTATTGGATACCAACATTTTGGAGGCTTATGCGAATCAGAAAAGCCACTTCCTCGTACTGTTCAAAGACAACAATTTGAAAATCAAATCAATCAACTTGTAGGAAATTTAAAAAATCACATCGATCTTGATCATGATATTGACATGTTTTCATTAAAAAATTATTACACAAACTCATTACCTCCATCAATGTCTAATGGTAAGTTACTTGTTGTAAGTTGATAAGACTTATTTGTTATTGATATAGTGAATGATATTAACAAAGACGATATTATATATAGTAAAATAAAATAAAAGTATAACTAAATCTACCATAAGTATTTGGGTTGTATGAAATTATAAAATAAATATTAATAATTGTTGTTTATTAGCCTTTAGAAAGCTAGTTAAATATAATAAAACAAATATTAAACTTTATTATGTTTATACATACAATCATGAATCAATGAATACTGAAATTCTTCAAACTGTAGACTTATTGTTATGTGATATAAGTCATATTTAAATTAATTGAAATGTAGAAACAATTTATTTATTTTTACAGATGAACTGCTACGAACAGTTACTAATGGTACAAAAATGTTACCTAATGGAACAACCACTAAACCAATGATAGATCTTGAAATTGCTGAAGTTAAACTTATTCGTAAAAATTGTTTTAGGTAAGACACACTATAGAAATCTATTGATTATATTAAGAATGAGCTTTAATTTTTATCTTGATTATAATCTCAAAACGATTTGAATGTTAAATATACTTTTAATATTGATTGGAATAATGTATGTATATTATTGTGATACAAATCATAATAATTCTTGGAAATTGTATTTGACATTTGATTTTAAAAATTATCTCAAATAAAGTCATGTTAAAGTTTTTTTTATATTTAATATTTATTGAAAAATATTTTTTTAAAATACCCTTATGGTTTGTTCTGTTGATATGTAATATGTATTGTAGTATAATTAAAGTAGTAAAATGGTATTATTGTAGGCTGGTTGAAGAAAGTATGTTGGATGAAGATACTGATCAAATGATAAATGAATTAAGATTTTATTATAATCTAGATAACTCAAAACAGCTGCATAGTAATGAGTGTCAATTTATTGTCATACCAGATGAAATGGGATTATTTGTAAAGAAATTGTTTAATATTTATCCATCATTTATTAAAGTATCTGACTTATGTGATGACAATGAACAGGTAAATATTAATAAGTTACAAAAAAAAAAAAAAAATGAGAAATGATGTATAGTATACCGTGTATTCACCAATTTAGTGAACATTGAATTTCTCAGGCGTAATTAAATTGGAATAAATCAAAATTTTTTTTACAAGCTAGTGGTATATAAATACACATTTATAGATAAATTTTTAAAATTTTTATCATTTCGGTATGCGCATGCACAATAAAAATATTTATTTTTTTGAATAACAACAATTATTTTGAACACAATATTAGGATTGGCCTAATTTTTTTAAAGTTATTTTGATGTATCAACTATGGTTCTAAATTAAAAATTGACAAAATAAAAGTAATTTCCTTTTCAATAAGCAAATACATTTTTATGATTCATTTAAGTGCATAAAATAATTTAAAATAATTTATTATTGGTTAATTTTTGAATGTTTTTACATATTTTTATTTTACGTTTTATAAATAAGACTCATTCAATAAACAGCAAGATATCCAGATATTACTTCATTTGATTTTTTTTATGAGGAATTTAAAAACAATAGTTTACAAAGATCCACCAGTCAGTCTTGCAGATTTAAAAATAAAATTGTGGTTGCTTGTATTGTGTAATTAGTAATAAGTAATAACATAACAATATAACATATTATAAGTTATTTAATGTTAGCAACGAATAGAGGATGTCTACAACAATTTCAATTATGCGTAGAAAATAATGGAGGGAACTTTAAGCAATTTATTTAACAAATTGTATAATTATAAAATAACTGTTATAAATAATATTTAATAAACAAATGTGCGATATGTATACCCATATTATGTAAATTTTATTTATAACATGTATACAAAAAAAAAAAATACATTAAAACAGTCAAAAATTAACCAATGATAATTATAAATGATTTTATGCACTTAAATGAATTGTAAAAATGTATTTATTAAAAAGGAAATGGCTTTTATTCAGTTAATTTTTAATTTAGAACCATAGTTGATACATCAAAATTATTTAAAAAAAATGGCTTATCTGAATATCGTGCTCATAATAGTTGTTGCTATTCAAAAACAGATATTTTTATTGTGCATGTGTACATGGAAATGATAAAAACTTAAAAGATTATCTATAATTATGTATTTATGTACTACTAGCTTGTAAAAAAATTAAATTTATTTCAATTTAATCCGGCCGAGAAATTCAATGTTCCCTAAATTGGAGAACACACGGTATATCTTGTTTAAAGATTTGTTAATTTATTAGATTTCTATTAAATTATCTACAGTATTTTAAACATATCTTACTATTTTATAATAAAATGTAATAAAATATTTAATTTTACCATTCATTATATCATCAATATTCATCAATAGTATTTATTAATATAATATAACATTTTATTAGTTTGGAAAATCACTGATTTCATTTTTGTTATAATTTTATCATATTATTTTTTACATGTACATATATTATGTTTTAACATTTGCTCGCTGTATTTTAATACAGACTAAATTAAATTTTGTATAATTCACATTTTTTTTTCATAAGTAAAATATTACTTGTTAGTAAATACCTAACTATAAACAACAATAATTTGTAATTCATACTTTTACCATAACTAAAGTAAAAGTACTGTAATATATTATAATATGAATATAAATTATAAACATAACAAACTGTAATTAATCAAAAACTAAAACTAACTAATATCTACTTATCGATAAAGTAATTAGTGTTAGAACTTATATTAAAATTGTAGTTATTTTTATTTTTTTTTTTGTAAATATTAACAAAATTAGTTTTATTTGATTATTATTCATTTTAGAGGTATATAATACTTATTAATATGAATATGTTCCAGGTTTTGCAGCTTGTGAATGATTTATGGGAACGAGGATTGTTAATTACTTCAAAAAATATTACTGCTATGTCTAATTAGTTATTGAAAGAAATAACTAAAATATACATATTAAAATTTATGTTTGAAATAATACTTAATTTATAATAAACAATGCATTTTGAAAAAAGTTATTTAATATTTTATATATTTTGTAAATGCTTGTTCTTGGCAATTACATATTCAGTGTAGCTGAGAAATCCATCATAGTTTGTATCATCATCATACAGTATTTGATCAACTAAATCTAAAAAAAAGTTATAGTATTTTTTATTTATTACTAAATACTTAATTTACCTAGGTACCTGTGTAATTTTCTAAATTTGATATCTTTGTTTCCGTATCACCATAGTTTTCCATATTATGAGCAAATGCTGACATTAATTCTAATCCATCAAGCATTGTGTTTTTATCATAGTCATGAGCACTATACAATTAAGAAATTGATTAATTAGTTATTTACAAAATATTTATTATTTGTGTATGTTACCCACATGAAATATCTAAATTCTAATTCTTCATCTGTTAAATTACTATCGTCTATATCTGGAAGTCCAAGATCCTCTTCAATATGCCTGTTTAATTTTTAAAATAATATATATACATATTACATATATATATATATATATTTATATTTGTGTTCCAAGTATAAACACAATGCTATGTAGTGGCATTGCCAGGGGGGTTAACGGGTTATACAAAAAAAAAAAAAAAATTTCTCTTATTTTTAAAACTTAAGTACATTTATTTGTTTATAATGGTTAACAGGACAGTAGAACACGTTTTAATAAAATAATAATAAATTTTATATTTTAACCTATGTTTAATCAACTTATTAGAATTAAAAAGTTGGTACTTATGTAGTTATGTAGGAGCGAATTGTAAATCAGCGACTGAAATTCATGAAATGATTAAAAAATCATTTGAAGATGAAACAGTGAGTAGTTTTAAAATATTTGATTGGCATAAAAGGTTTTAGAGGGTCATAATTCGTAAAGTAACATCAGTGATAACTATATTATATAAAATATAAAAATTTAAAAATTTAAACAAAATTGAAAAAATTGTTTGTCGGTAGATACTATCATAAGATACTTGCTAAAAAAAAAAAAAAATGACAATTTATTTCTTTGGTTAGGTATACGTACGCGATGTGAATGAGTTGCTTTAAATTAAAAACGTTATGTACTTGGTATGTAAGTAAAAAATAAAAAATAGATTAATAAGGGTTTTTTTAGTCATAAATTGTGACTCATAATTATTTATAAAACATTTACGTAGTAGGTACTTATACAGTTATACATGTATGGCCTCGTGCAATGTCCATATAATTTGTGACATGAAATTTAAACAACAGGGGTCCTCCTTATAGAACCTATCTAGGTATGTTATATAAGTGTTATGAGGGGTGATTATGGGAAATAATGTAAGGTGGATCGTCGCGCTAGAGGGGTTGGCTGAGGAGGACATGAGTATGCCCGCGACCCGCACGCGAAACTCTTGGGTCACGGGTGCCGCGCTACTGCACAATCGTTACAAAAAACGAACGGTCGCAATTTTATTGTAATCATTTTTATAGCGTGGGCACCTATATAATACGTATATACACGATCACATAGTGTGCTGTATGATATATTTTATACTCGTCGTCACTGACCTCTTGTCGTGCAGTATCGGTTTGTCTTGGGTGAATTTTGTGTCGCCCATGGGCTTGGGGTGCTTGTGCTCGCGGTGGTGGTTGCTCTCGATTCTCAGTTCGCCAGACACAGCGGCCCTGGGGTGGTGCGGACCCCGCTGGAACCCGACGGCGATGCCCACCAGCAACAGTTCGGCCAGCACCGGTCCTCTCATGTCGTACCGTGCGAGTTTATCCCTTCGCCCGCGCCACCGCCGACTCTTTCGGTCCTCGCTGTCTACTCCTGTACGCACATACGACGGGGTATATTTTTTTTTCCATTTCTATTTTATTTCATTTCATTATCCGCTTAACGGAATAATGTTTTCGCGCGCGACAGATGCGCCGCGTAGACCGGTCTCGCCTGCAACCGCGCCCCGCACGTACGCGAGCCAGCGATCTGCAAATTCGATTTACTCGGCTCGCGCACCACGGTCATTTCACGGCCGACGAGAACCCAGCGTGGTCCGATCACCACTCGTCTCCAGTGGCGGCGATGACGACAACGTTAAATCTAATAATCGGCGGGGGCCCATGTCCTGCCTGCACTTTGAGGAAAAAAACCCTTTTACCTTCCCACTATCGCTCTATCTCCATACTATATACCTCTACCCTCTTTATCGTTCTTTCCGAATATTGCTGGGCTTATTTTACTATGATATAATGAGTAATGACTGCAGTATTCTTGTGCAGCGTATAAATGTTACATGCACCTAATATAATATTATACGTGATTTAGGTATGATGTACAAGTGTTACAGAAAGAATCGAAGACCTCAGCATTTAATTAACTTTTGTTATAAAATAATCGATATTTAAAATGTTTTCAATATAATATAGGTAATATTGATAATATTTTATCAGATAGGAGTAAATAACTGTTTTATTTTAAATTATTTATTAGAATTAAAGTCCCATTTCTTATTATAGGTATACATAGTTATTAAATTTAATTTGTCAGTTATCTATGTTACACCGTGATAAAGGTAGTTACTATAGGTACACAGATTAGGCGTTGGGTGTGTTATGCGTCTGACGTTCACGTTTGTATACAAATGTCGATGATATTCGACGTAGCGAAAGATGATATCATTCTTTAAAATCATTATTTTTATTGTGTTCTTGTGATTCAGTAGCCATTTTTTATATCTATCGCGTATGTGGTTTAGCCAGTGCCGTTTATTATGTTTTTTTTAATTATAATTATGTAATACTTACGGCAAATGGCGATAATGAGTTAGTTTTCAACTAATTATTCTAAATTTATTTATACGTATTACACTAATAAATTATCGTTGGTCAAATAAAAAAATAATTTTTATTTATAAATAATTATAGATATCAATTTTTTTTGATTTTAGTTAGATAGGAATCTTATTATACAATATTAATGTATAAAAAATTGATTATTTTTAGAATAGATATTTTAAAGATATGTGTAAAACTACTTTAAGTACCCAAATGGAAAACTGATTTATTAGTATAGCTATCTACTTATAATATGATGACATTTTATAAAAAATATGATGTTTGTATTTTTAACTGTTCAAAGTTTTTATAATAGGTAATTATTGAATTTGGCGTTTTATTCGGCATGGTTTAATTATTGATTTTTTGATTAGGTATATGAGAAATGTTACCTAGGTACGTTAAATAGCTAGTACCATAAGTGTTGTATTTAACAGAGAAAAAATATTTATTTTTGACCAATTAATAATTATTAGGTTAAAGCATAGTATATGCATTTTTAAAACATTAATGATTGTCGATTGTTAATAGCTCATAAGCTCGTACATTAGTGTTTTTTTAACATTTTTAATATTCGTAGTTCGCAATAATAATTTATTAATTACTATTAGATATATATAAATACGACAGCGAATTATAAGAATACTAACAAATGTTTCTCACTGATGAATTTTTTTGAAAATTTAGAAATATCTAAATCAAAATTTGAACGAGTAGTTTCTGAGTTTATTAATGTATTTATACTAATATAAATAATATATTTCTTAAACACGGATTTATAAAAATATAAAACATATTGTGCTGTATTGGATCTACCTACTTATTATTTAATAAGTATATTTTTAAAGAGTTCTATAAATTAAAATTTGAATAAATAAATAATTAAATAAAAAATTGAGCGAGGTGGATAGGAGATACTAGCATGTACAATCATTCCCTGCATACCAAAGTATCTGAACGAATTTAGATTACATCATTGATTGTACAAAATAGTATATTATTGCAACAATATCTAGACCCCACAAGGTTTGATTTTTCTTTTATGTAATGTAGTTAATATTCGTTTTGCATTGTAATTTGTAGCCTGCATGCAGCATATAATAATTTATTAGTTTACAATAATGGATTTGACATTTTATCAGAATTTATAAACTTTTGGATTTGGATATCTTATAATACACATATATATGTTATTTGTCAAAACTTTATGAAGTTATATAGAATTTATGAATTCGTTGGTATAATAATATAAAACATTAAATGTTGACGCGATAAGCTTATAAACATATAAAATAATGTTATCGAGGATGTCTGGATGTGTAATCGAATACCTATACGATTTCGCGAGTGATCCGCAATAATAGGACTATAAGCGAGATTATAATCACAATCTAATAATATATATATGTATATTATGTTTTAAACATTTTATATAGGGTTAAAATTTTGGCAATATGTTCTACGAGGACGATCGGTCGCAGAGTAGGTAGGTACCTACACAAAAGGGTTGTCGAACAATAGTCGGTTTCAAATGTACATACGCTACGGTACACATACCCTATTATAATAGCACGACAGGTCTTAAAATAATTTACTATTATACATACAGCTGACAGATTTTAGACACGATGACGTGCAGTGCTTTAAAGCGTTTTCGTTTGAAATGAATGGAAACGTTTCTTTACACGTCATTGTAACTAGAAAACTGTTCATTGTCGTCATCAATCCATGTCCAGACACTGGACAGTCTCTAGTTTCTTATGTATAGCGATTAAACGAAATAATATGCGAGCTTATAAAGTAGTAAAAAAATACGTCAACGAAACAATAAGCTCAATCGCTATATATTTCGGCGACCGATTGATTTTTTGTATATTTTTGGTTGATATCTATTAATATTTAATTATATTTAAAATACATGCTCAGGTGGTCCACATAGGTAAATAAATATTATAAAATTAGATTTTATCAGTAAATTTATCTAAATGTACCTATAAATATTACCTTTTTATCTCACAATTATTGTAACTAGTTGATAAATTTATAAATATACCTATATGAATTAAATTAAATTGTATCATGTTATATTTATTGTTATTAACATAATAAACTAATGTTTAGACTATAGTATATGTATACATAGATATTGCAGATAGGCACGAAATGAGCTTAAAAGTTTTTTTCTAACATACTGCTCATTAAGTATTAAGATACTCGTACAAGGATTGTACGAAATCTAAATCGCATTGAACATTGAGTACTATATAGCCAGAGTGTATATTAATATTACACAGTGCCATACTGTATTTTTCCTCGTACAGGTATTACATTACATCATTTTAAACTATTAAATTATTACCTACTCACTATAAACGTATTATATAAAATACTTAATAGAAAAAATTTAAATTACTATTCATTTAAACAAACTAAAAACTATTACCCTATAATGAGCATTATTAAACCATGATTTGTGAACCATCTATAAAAGGTGTAAAATAACAATCATCCAAAATCATATTTTAAAAATATTAAATAAAAAAATACTACCGACATAAAGAAATACACGAAAATATACCCTGAAAAGGTACACGCTTCCACCAAAAAACAGGTCTTACCGGGATGACGGGAATGAGACAAAAAAAAAAAAAAAAAATAAAATATTTCTCTCGTAATCAGTTATTATTATTTGACAGCATTTAACGATTTTAGATTGTATATATTATTAAACAAATCAAATATCGTCAATACATCATACGTACCTATACTTTGAAACTTTGCAGCAGGAATCTGTGGAGATGTGAGTGGTTTGATTATAATACTATCTATTATACGAGATGTGATAACGTTCGGTATCAGCGAAACAATTCGCTCGATACGAGTTCTCGTGCTACCTATTATATACGGACATCAAGTAGCGTCGGATCAATATGAAGTGAGTTCGCCAAAATAAAGGGTAGTTTCGCATGGTATACGCGTGTGCATTAAATTCCGATAGATAGCGGTAGGGTTTCTATGTAACATTTCAGTTGCCTAGAAAATATTTATTTTAATTTCTGCGGTCATGTCGGGCATGTGGGTGTTCTGTTAATTTTTGGCACTTGGACTTTGTCAATTTTACAAAATTTTGCAATAACTGGTGCCTGGCAGAGAAGAAAAATCGTTTTACCCGATATATTTGACTGTTGAGAACTTTTGGTTTGGACTAGGCTTTTTTTGAATGGAAATATATTTTTATTTGATCAGTGAAAAACTAAAATATAAAAATAAAACCATAGCTGTTATCCAACTATTATTATTATTGGCTTTGGTGATAATCATATTCGGTGCCCCATTTCAACATGCTGTTTCATACAGCTATTTCTACAGGGAAGTTAAGATTCTATTCGTAAATTGAAACTTCTATAAAAACTGGTCGTTGTGCTCGATAATATATTATGGAGATACGTAATTATACATTATTAGTATCATAATTTTACATAATTAAAATTTAATCAGATAAGTAATACACATTTTTTTTTTTTTTTAACAACAAATTATTGATATTTCTTATAATAATTTTTTTATTTTTAATATGATAATATTTATAAATAAAAAACACAATTAATATAAATAAAAACAATTTATATCAATAACACATAGAAACATATATTATACATTGTAGGTACATTATACATACTAGTATACTATTTTAACAATCTGTTTAGTCTAGCGCTGTAATTTGACATATTTTATATTTTAATATGACAAAATAATTTTATGATTTACTATTGAGAAAATACAACTTTTGCTTATAATTTGTTAGGTGTTAACAAATATTGTAAATCAATAAGACTAATAATATAACGGTACAAAATAATCTATATGATCGGTAGGTATCTAGTACAATCTAATTAGAACAATTAAAATTCAATTACCATACTTATGCCATTCATAACTATCATTGTATATTTGCTTAGATTATTTTATGTTCTTGGTTTTTAAATAATATTATACATAATTATATTATTATAGATCAACATATTATATGTATATACAACAAATATTATTTATAATTTTATTTCCTTCCAATTATAAAAGTTGAAACCTAAATAAACAACAAACTATAGCTTTTATGCTTAATTTCAATAATTTTTAAATGTAATTTAAAGTATCTACTCGTATGTCTATTGTACGCATTAAAAATTTCCTTAAGGCATTGTCTATCTTGTACCTACCTACTTCATTTTATCATCAATGGTTCAATTTAATTTTGACATTTCCTCCCTTTATTCCTTTATTTAGTCGATCTACAAAATTGTCTATTTTACTTGTAAGTAATGCGTGTATATATATATATTTTAGTGCTACTTTTTGCTATTGCATTCATCAATTTTCTTTTTAGTTTATTTTCCTTTCACATTTTTTTGCAATACAACCTTATGCACGTCCTCATAATATGTCTACATTCACCCAATACATTTCAACTGCTACTATCTATTTTTTTTTTATTTTATTTACTATTGAAGTGATCCTATAACCTTTTTTTTCACCATCAATTCAATCTTGGTTACACTTTATATTAAATTTATTCTTTTTCTCAATAAAATTCTCTGTATAATATGTTTTTATTATCTAATCACGTTCCACGTACAATAGAAAAAACATACATTCTATTATATTTATACTTGATATACTTATTTATATACAATGCTCGTACTTATAACATTTCATAATTTTATTGTTCTTGTATGTTTTTTACATCTATTGAAATGTGTACAATTTTAATAATAATCTGGTTACTTATAATTCTTTTATACCCGTAAAGTTAAATTACGTTATATACACCAATCATATATTAAAATATCATAAAATTAAAAATATTAAAATACTTAAGTATGATGATGATTAACTTTAAATTGTAACTATAATATTTAAAAGTTATTAAAATATTATGTATGGTTTTAGATAGATGTATAAAATTTGAACATATTTTAATCGTATTTAGATGAAAAATATTATGTTTAAGAGAAAAAGAAACCTTGTCTTGACATGCCATCGGCGAAAAAATATGTAAAAAAATTTAATTTTTTAGTATAATTTTTTAATATAATTAGTGAAGTTTAAGGAACTATTTTTGTATGTATTTAAAAATTATTGCATGTCATCAGGTTATAAATTAAATATTTTAATGTCGATTTTTAGACTATTGTTAATTTTTAAGATGGAGTGAAAAGAGACTTTTCTATAAGTTGTAAAATTCACTATTTCCCCCGAGTTCAATTTCTTCGGTATCTTTAGGAGTAATATATAGCTGTATTCTTTCCAAGCCAGATTGAAAAAAAACTTTTACCACATTTGGTTTAGCCTGTCGTATAACTTCTTCATTCAAAATTAAATGAAAACGAGACCGGGTTTATGTATTTATAGGCGAATACATTTACTTTATTTCTTTTGTCAGGTACTTGCATCTACTCTATAATTCTATTCTTATTTCTTGTCTGTAAAATTTTTCTATACATAAAGTTCTACGCATTGCATACTAATTTTCGTTTTTATTGTTAAGAAATTATACTTTTACTATACATACAGCTTAAACAAATGTACAATATACATTTACATCAATATAATATAATGAATTGTATTGACATTAATTTTTCTATTTGATTTATATGTAAAGAAGTATATAACATATAAAATAATTATGTGATATAATATAAGGTATTAGTAATTAATTTAATTATTGATCATCAAGTATGTAATATTATAACAGGTTAATCGCCATTGGGTTATGAAAATTTATTAATGAGTGGTGATTATAAAATTTATTCCTTATAATAATTATGTAGAAGTTAGTTAATTTCATATTGTACAATCTAAATCTACTATTATACTATGTTAATATAGAGAAATTTAGTTTTTACAATATTTAGAAATCATACATATGACATAATGCATAGCTTAAAGTAGCTAATGGGTTTATTAAAATTATATAAAACTTCTAATTTACTAAGTATTTAATACAGTATAATTAATAAATGATATAATACGAGTATAAATAAATTATATAGGTAGGTTGTATGAAAATATGATAATTATTGGTTTATATTGCAAGTGTATAAAGCACTGCGTATTTTTTATAATAAATTTTAATAAATACGAAGTAAAAGTAAGCTCTTCTCTGAAATTAGTTCAATTTTAAAATAAACCATTTTGATTCTTAAACTTTATCCTTTTCATAAATTGTTCAATGCTTTAAAACTTACAAAACTTTAGTATAACGTCGTCGCATCTTATTGAAAAGCAAACGTATTTCTTTTTATAAAGACTTGTAATTATGTCTGTATTGATCATATAACTTCTAGTCAGAAAGAGATTAATTATGAGCAATAAAATTTAATTTTGAAAAGTTGTATTTGTGAAATATTATTGTTAGTTATTTATTCTGTATACAAATTTAAAAATTCGTAATGTCACTTAATCGTATAAACAATAAAAATAATGTTTATGCTTTATTTATCACTAGTAACGAAAACGTTGTCATTTAAGCAATAAATACCAATATAGTAGTGTTATTTGTAGAGTAATGGGGTCAAAAACTTCGTTGACTAATTTTTAAAGACGTACTTTGGTTGATATTGGAATCTCTGGGATTGACCATTTCAACTGCTTTTCCCTGAAAGAAAAAAAGTTTTAATCAAATATGTACAAAGTATAATTTAATATCGTTCTTACTCTACCTTAACTTAAACTTATTTTAAATGTTAAAACAGTATTGAATAATTGATTGTTGCAGTAGGTATTATATTTTAATTTTTATATTAGACAGATTAAATTTGAATTTAATAAATATTTATGAAATAAATATCTTATAATGTATATAAAATTTATAATTTGATTATATAGTATGATATATATATAAAGTACGAGTAGGTATATATGTAAAATATACTACTACTATTATCTCTGTATAATTATACAGCCAAGATGGTTGAAACATGTCCAATAACAATCTTAAAATACTAGATATAGTAGAATGCTTATAATCGCATATTAATAACATATTTTTTAATTATTTTATTTAAATATTATATTATAAATATAAAGCATATAAATTATTATAACGATTATCATTAATTATTCCATCATTAAATAATTGAAAGATCGAACATTAACTATTATGAGTAAATCAAGTAATTAGTAACAATATTATTAAAATGCACTGAAGACAATTTTGTACATAGCATTGTAAAGAATTTTTAAATATAAAACTCAATATGGCATTATTTTGACTTATAAATATTGTTTACGTAATTATATACATGTCATAATCCTACCTATCTTATTCCGATATGAAAAAAAAAATAAGACTGAAGAAAAATTCACATATCTCAGTTCTCTACTTTTGAGGTATGGTCTTCAAAATTAAATCAAAATTGTATAAATACTTGTAAAATTCTTTAAAATAATTTTTGCAGATAGGTTATATTGGTGGTTCTAGGTCAAAATATCTCTGGTTTAAAATACTCAGATACAAAATACCTGTTAAAAATATCTCTAGCCACAAATTATGTTACGATTTGAAAAGTTATAATTTTTTTAAAACGAGAATAGTCATTACAAGAGATATTTTATTTAATATTTATGTATTTAACAATATATTACTGAATTATCTCATGTTTAGGTTAAAATGGAGCAATCTTTGTCGGGTAAACCAAGTCTAAAAAAAAGAAAAAAGTTCAATGATTACGATGAACGACTGTTTAAAATGGTAAGTCAATATAACAAAATTACATCAATGAAATATTATAGGGGAATTACCCACAATATAAATTTTAAGTTATACCTTGATTAGATTTTAAATTTATTTATTTAATTTTTGTAATACTTACATATTATAATTACAATAACATACTTTTAAATATTA